CATTGGGGGTTGTCCGTAGATTTAGGGGTTGTGATAAACAATTCCATCTTTAGCATCATTAAGGGTGATTTATCATTAGGTTAGGACAACCTTCTGTGTTTTTGCTCTTTTTTGAAGGAGGGAGTGTGGTATGAGAACTTGGAAGAGCAGTTACATTTTTTTTTATACCAATAACAAAGAAAAATATTGGCATGTATAGCAGGACTTATTTTAAGACTGGAGAGAGTTCCTATACACCCACTCCATCTTAACCCCATCTCACTATTTTGATTGCTTTAATCTCAAAGCACCTTGCCACACATTCCCTAGACTCTACCATTATGCAGTGAGAGTTACATGATCTAGCTAAGTGCTCTCACCACGACACTGAACATAACTAGTATTGGTTTGATTACATGGCACACAGGCGAGCAGGGAATGTTTTGGCTAAATCAGTAGAATGTGTGGCCATGTTCGGACTCCTCCACCTTACACTCACTACAATGATACCACACAACTGATGGACTCTATGCGATAGAGAAAATATGTTATGTTAAGTTTTGATGAACACTTATATTTCTAATTTGATGTTCATACTTTTTCATGTAGAGATTGTAGCATGTGTTAGTGTTGCTTTTGATACTTACCTAGTTACCCTTATGTTGTCTTTTGTTTAGTTTGGATTTGATATGTCGTGATTAGTTATTTTTTATTATTTATATATCAATATTTATACATCTTACTTGCAATACTTTTTCTTTCTTATGTCATTAATTAACAAGTTTTGTGGGGGGAGGGAGGGGGATATTTTGCCCTTAAAGTATCTTGGAGTCTATCTTTGCAATTTAATATAAATAACAGTGGTAACACTATTTAAATATGAGTACAAACTAATAAATGAAAGATGTTTAAGTTGGAGAGATGGATTTTTGGAATACTTGAAATGATGAGTTATTTCCTGACTACTGAGCCCTAACAATAGTATTATTTATCAAAAATAAAAAAAGGTTCATGCTAAAAAGAGAAAAAAAACATTTCAAGAACCTTTGGGGAGAAGCTTGAGGTGATGCTATTATTAAAATTGGTGTTAATTCTTTTTTCTTAAGGTTAAAAAGTTAATGGATAACACGCCAAAAATTTCTGTGAAGTAAGTTGGTCATATAACGTAAGTGCATGTGTCAAGTAGTATGCGGTCTAAAATCCTGCGTATCTATCCATGAGAAAAAGGTTTAACATTTATTCATGTAGAAAAAATTCTCATTTACGAATCCAATGAACATAGCTTGGTAGTATGTCAAAGAAGGTTTTATGTCCTAAAATTCTTATAAAAATATAGTAGATCACAGGCAGCAGAAACAAAAAAAAGGGAAAAATCTAAGGAGTTCTTTTAAGAATGATGTAGCTCGTACCTTTGTGATTCAAAAATTGTGATGATCGTAACTTTCCTAAATGATCTTTTTTATGTGATTGTTGTCAATCAGAGATACATTACTCTTTATGTCTATGTTTAGGTCAAAAAAAGCCTAGAATCCATGAAGTTGAGGCCTAATTAATTCACAAGGCATTCTGCATGAATGTTATGATCCTCTATAAGGATTACCGAATCTCACTAGAATATGTCTATCCTCTCAAGATTCTATTGTTAATTCTTCTTTTCTACTACACAACAGTTAGAAGTCATAATTTCATAAAATATTTTAATATCCTAGTTGATCAGACTAAGAGTGAATAAAGTTCATCGGTTAACCAACAACATAGGCCATAAAAACACAATGAAATGCTATAAAAAAATAACCGAGAAAATCACTATTAAATTCACTACTACTACATCACAGAGACAGAAAGAAGAATTTAGCCACACATTGTCGATAAAACCATAACAAAGAAAACTATGCACGATTTCATTGAAAGAATAAATATTTGTTAAACTTACAAATAATCTTGTCTTCTCCACAACAGCAGCTCTCTCCCTCTCACGCAATTTTCTTACAAGACAAAGGCAAAACTCACCCTTAAGGGTTTCAACCTAAGGAAGGAAGAATAACTTGAGAAAAGCACTCAAAAATCTCCCTTATCTTTGCCTCTACCTTCTCCAACTCTCCTCTAGACCAGAAGCTTTGTCAAGAAGCCCTAAAAATATTTTTTATAGTAAAAACCACAGATTTGGCAAGCAAATTTCCTTCCAAAACAGATTTACCACTCATTAGCGTGGTCAAGCCTGCCATTTGAATAGAGCAGCAAGGCCACACCCGATCCCAGTGTGGTCAAGCCACTGGTTTGGGATTCTGGCGTGATCATGTCAAGTTATGTCATTGTCACGTCACTTCTAAGGAACCTATGGCGTGGTCTCGCCGCATTAGGTTGCTTTTTTGTTGGTTCTTTTCATTCCGAATTGCTCTTATTAACCACATACAACCTGCACAATATAAAAAAAAAAAACTTTCTCAAGTATCAATCTATGATGAATAAGTAAAAATAACAAGTAAAATGTTGTGTAAAATATAGGTGAAATCATGTAAAATTGATGCATGTCAATGCTTCTCTTACTTAAGTTAGAAACTTTATATTCATAGAAATGGAAACTGGAACAAGATGATTTAATTGGATATATAACTTGATTGTACAACTTATATCAATTTAACGCTGGTTAAGCTCCATATGATTATGAGTGCCTTTGGATAAATATCTAGATTTGTATCACTATTGTGAGGCAAGGATGTTGGGGACAAACTTTGAAAGTTCAATATGAAGAAAAATACATGTCTACCTTTACTTATATACCTTCTCTAGTTAATTATAGGGCCTAAATCTTTAAAAAAATAACTACTGCAATATTAAACAATATTTTAATTATCAATTATAAATTACTTGAAGGCAACTAATATTTAAGTTATAGATATTTTAATGTGTATAGGAAATGTGATAATTTATGTTCTTATTTTAATCATATTGTTTTAATTTTATATGTTTAGAAGGTATTTTTGAAGTATTTTGTTGGATTTAGAGTTGAAGATTCATTGATGCTAAAGAATAGTTGAAAAAAGCTGAGGCAGGGACAAGCACCTAGGTGTCGGAACCAAGTGCCTAAGAGCCCAATGATGGGCCATCTCATTTCAAAGTACTAAGAAGGTGAAAAGTAGATGTCATGATAACAACACCTAGGCATTGCATCCTTAGAGCTCAGGTGCAACATTCAGGTTCTTAGGTATCAAAAGCCCTAGAAATCCATCTGTAGGAGGAGAAACGTAGGGGTCGCAACTACGACACATAGACACAGTTCACCCAAATTAGGTGCTTTTGCTGTTCACATGTAACATTTCATTATGGATGTTCTAAATACTATTTTGGCTGAATTAACGTGGGACTTTTGGCCGATTATAAATGCAAAAAAGAAAGGAAAAAAGCCATAAGAAGAGATTCAAAAAGCAAGTGAGTGAAGTGAGGGGATTAATTGTTTTAGTGAGTGTAAGTGTATCTGTGCTTTCATTATCTCATTTGGACAAGGACTGGGATAAGTTGGCAGTGTTTTTGTGTATTCATAGTTTCTATGACCCATCAAACTTTTCTATTCTTATGTTTCCTTTCAATAAAATGTTGATATTGTTATTTACAAGCATGTGTAGTGAGTAAATAATTTCATTCTCCTTTGAATTGGCTTGTAAAAACGTTTGGTTTGGATTTTTGTGTGTGATTCTTATTGCAATTCTTATATGGTATGAAATGAACCTTTAAATCTTAATTTAAACTCATCACAACTAGTTAAATTGTTAAAAAATTGTGGTGAATTTCGAGATTCAGGAGAATTCTTCATGAAACGATTAAGTCAATGACATTAATATAGGGGAATATAGATATTGCCTCTATATTAGCACACACTTTTAGAGAGAAATGAACTCTTGGGTTAATATTTAGATTTAAGGAACTAAATTGGTTATTAGTAAACTTTCTTAGATGCTTGGGAGGGGATAAGAAAGTTTTTTGCTCCTGACTGGCACCTATCATTTGGATCACTCTTCTAAACATTAATTTCTACAAAACCAGTAGGCTAGAAATTTTTGGCTTTAATATTTTATTGGTAGATTGATACACAGACTTTAATTCATATACTACTTAGACGACATGTATACTTGTATGATTTGTCAGTGCTTCACTGCATTCGGTTCGTATCAAAGATTTGGTTCACTAGTATCTTCTGCCACCTCAAAGACATCCAGAGTTTCCTCATAAAGGGTCAAGGATTGATAGCTCATTTAAATACTCGTTCACTTATTATAGACAAATCAAGTAAAAATCATGTTCAAGTATTGCAAATTTTAAACAAGTTGAGCTTGAACATAAGAAAGCTTAAACAATGTCAAGCCAAACATGAATAACTTATAGGTTTATCATGCCAAGTCTAGTCTATGATATACTTGGCTCAACTCAGCTCAATTACAACTCTACTTATGATTTACTTCTTGTGTGTGATTCGCTGACAAATCAAGATTAAACTGATGAGTAAAATTAATATTTTTTAGGACTTTTACATACATAGCACCCACGACTTTCATATTTATTTATCTCACACCAAAACTTTTATAATTGTAAACATCGTATGAAAAGTAGCACTCATAATCACATTTTAATAATCAAATCCATCTTTTCGTTCATAGCTAAATTGCTATGTGTGTAAAAATGAAACTTTGGGCGTGAGATAGGTAAATCCATAAGAATTGAGTGCTATGTATATAACTTTTCCTATTTTTTATGTGATGTCAAGGATTTGAGTGCAATTGATGTAAATATAAAAATTTAGGTGTTGTAAATACAAAAAAAAAATGTGACATCTATAGCAATGATCCTATTTTTTATGTAATTTTTTTTCTAGGTGTAACATTTATATTATGTTATAATTTAAAATGACATAAAACTAGTTTATTATATTTACTTCTATTAATGAAAAAGAAAAATTTGAGAAATCTGCATAAATGAAAAGCTAATATCTTCTTCTAATGAAGATGACAAATCATATGAAGCTTTTTACAAATTTATACTTTGTAAAACCGGCTATCTTTTCATTAACGGCTCAGATTAGTGGCTCCAGACTGGTGGACGGCAGAGCTGTTCATTTTCCACGGCTTGTTCATCTACTCCTCGAGAAGGTTCTCATCTTTTTCTCCAATCCCCCATTTAGCCATTACTAAATCCACTCTTTGCAATAGAGTTCGAATCAATATCGATAATCTTTGAAAACAACCATTAAAGTCGGATCTTTGTTAACCCTATTCTTATCCTTATTGAATGTTTAGAATTTGAGTTTGTCGATCCCTTTTGTTTCGTTTGAATTACTTTGTGCTATTTTCTGTTGAATGTTGGATTCAGTATGCATTGTTTGTTCTTATTTTAGGATTCTGAATGGTGATTTCTGATTATTTGTTTTATTTGGGACATTCGTTTTAGGTTTCAATATATTTCGAAGTCTAGGTTTTTGCTAGATGTTGCTTATGAGATTTACAAAGGGCTGTTTGTTTGAAAGATTTAGTACGGACTTAGGGCTAAATCTTGACAAACAGTTTTTGGAGCCATATAAATCTTATTACCTACTTAAATCCCAATTTAGGCTAAATCCCTACTTTAATAAATGATGGGAAAAGTGGGATTTATGAGATTTACATCACTTCTATTATTTTACTGCTTTTTTTCCTTAATTTTATTCCTAAAATGTTGAAAAATATTTCTTAAACAGTTTATTAGGATTTTACATTTCGTAACATCTATCGTGCATAACAGTTTAAGGATTCAATAGCTCCAGGATTTATTAAACTAGTTGCCAAAGAACCCTCGCTTATTTACTATATTTTAGAAGTGTGGTTGCTTTTGTCGAAGTTATATGTCTTCTATTTTCTTAAGTTTTTTTTATGGAATATCAAGTTGTACTTAGGAAAGCAAGTCATTGCATGGTGCAAATAATGTTTTTTTTTTATTGAAAAGCAGTATTAAGAATATCCAACTCAAATGTCATTTATAAAGGGGTATAATTATAAAAAGTGAAAAAAGTACAACAGCTAAAGGAAAGCGGAGAACCAAAAGCTAAGATTTAAAAACGTGAAATTGTTGGTGTTTTGTATCAGCGAGCAAGGCATAAGCCTTGAGGCAAATTAAGGTGAAATATATATATATATATATATATTATTGCAATTCTTAT